AGTGCTCCCCTTATGAAGACATTGAGTCATCTGTACACACCATGCAGTGCTCCCCATATGAAGACATTGTCACTGTGTACAGATTAAGCAGCAGAGTGCCTTCCCGACATGTCTTTCCAATTCAATTTCCAGAGTAAACTCCCTTGTCTCCATCTGATCTTTAGTAAATAAAGAGCCATGAGGTATGGGAGAAAGAAAACGACTCGGAAGCAGGAGCTGGGATAGCCACTGAGCCATGAGTCACGGGACTGCTAGGCTGGGCAGTCATACCAGGTTATGGTTCATTGACTCCTGTCTGTGGACCTTCCCTGTTCTCTGAACCGCAGACCAGGTGACAGATATTGTGCCCCTGTGTGCTTAGTCACTTTCTTCTGTCCTAGGATCTCCCATGGCACCAGCTAGCGTGGGCAACAACTGCAGTGTGGGCAACTGCAGCCCTGAGTCCGTGTGGACCAAAACAGAGCCTCTGGAGATGGAAGTGCCCCAGGCACCCATTCAGCCCTTCTACAGTTCTCCGGAGCTGTGGATCAGCTCTCTCCCCAGTAAGTGAGCCTGCTTTTGATTGCTGGGGCTTCGTCTCTTATTAAGTGACCTTTCCTCTCTCTCTCTCTCGTCTCCCACCTCCTTCTCTGCACTTTTCCTGAAGGGTAAGGAATCAGACGAGGGCTTCTTGCATGCTGGGCAAGCACCGTGGCTGAGTCACACGCCCAGGCTTCTTCTGCCTCCCTTTTTGCTGTGTCTAGAATAGCTACCTGTCCAACCCATGTGTTCTCTGTGGATGAGTTAGCAGGGAAGCGAAACACGCTAGCCTTCTTGCCTATGGAGCTGCCATGATGCATGGGAGCTTCAGGTAATTGCTGCCATTCTGAATTGAGGCTTTAGGGACAAGGTCTGCTGTAAGACGGAATTACGGTTTTGATTCCTAGCCGTAAATAGAACCGGGTAAGGTGGCATACACCTGCAATCCCAGCACTCAGGAACTATTGGTGGAAGGATCAAGAGTTCAACATCATTATTTGCATAGTGAGTTCAAGCCTCGTTTGGGCTATGTGACACCCTGTCTCAGGAAAAAAAAAAGTGAAATTCAAACCAGACACTTGAGGTTTTAGCTCCTTATGTGGCCTATGCTCTGGAGATATGATTGGTAGGATCATTCTCTATCCGTTCAATAGACGCCATTTTCAGTGCTGCACCACACAGTAGCCAATAGCTGTGGGTGATTATTAATTTAAATTAATTGATGTCAAATAGATCCTTGGTCACATTGATTACCAAGTGTCTCAGCAGGTACATGTGGCCAGTAGCTACCCATCCCTCCTCTCAATGTTGCCGATGTATCTTTAATTTGGTGTGACCTGGGACATCAGAACCATCAGTGTGTGGATTAGAGTCTAGCCCCGAGGCTGTGGCCAAGGAGCAGAGTGCAGCGGGGGGCCTTAAGCTCTGCCGCAGGGCATCCTTTGGTGTGACCGTCCTGGGGTGTGTTGACGTCTCCCTTGATTGCAGGAAGGATAACTATGGCAATGGCCTTCCTGAGAGCTGGTTGAAAGATGGTTTGATCTTGGTGGACTCACATGAGTTAGGGATGGACAGACAGAGCAGAGCAACAGGACTCACTGTCATCTCTCACCTTGTAGTGACTGATTTGGACATCAAGTTTCAGTACCGTGGGAAAGAGTATGGGCAAACCATGACGGTGAGCAACCCTCAGGGCTGCCGGCTCTTCTATGGGGACCTGGGCCCCATGCCTGACCAGGAGGAGCTCTTTGGTCCCGTCAGCCTGGAGCAGGTCAAGTTCCCGGGTCCAGAGCACATCACCAACGAGAAGCAGAAGCTGTTCACCAGTAAGCTGTTGGATGTCATGGACAGGGGACTGATCCTGGAGGTCAGCGGACACGCCATCTATGCCATTCGGCTTTGCCAGTGCAAAGTGTACTGGTCTGGGCCATGTGCCCCCTCGCTTGCTGCCCCTAACCTGATTGAGAGGCAGAAGAAGGTCAAGTTGTTTTGTCTGGAAACATTCCTGAGTGGTGAGTCTCCTTTTAGAAGATTGATACTGGGAGATGCCCCTGGAGATTTTTCTCCTTCCTCTCCTCCCCCTCCTAAGCTTTCCTTGCATAGCAAAAAGCCAAGGGAGAAGAAAGCCCTGGTTCTATGCTAGGACAGGGACCTGGACAGTCACAAAGGGAGTTGCACTATAAAGCTGTCTGCATGGAAGGTGTTTTGAGGTTGATTATGGCTCCTTCAGGGACAGAGGACACAGTCCTGATGGTCCCCCCTGCCCCCAAATGTTAGGTTATCTTTCACCCTGGCGGGTTCATCGTAGTCAATAAAACTGTTGCTCTTCTTTCAGGAAGTCTTTGAGTGATTAATTTTAGGAGGAAAATTTAGGAAAAATATTGAGATGTGAATTTACAGTGTGGCTTGATATATCCTCAGTGTCCAGTAGAACCCTCTGATATGATAGAAAAGTTGTATTTTTGTCCTATCCAATTTGGTATCCACTGGCCACATGTGTCTTGTGAGCATGTAAATGCGACTGATATGACCAAGGAGTTATTTGATTAATTTAAGATTAATAGCTACATGTGGCTTGTGGCTGCTGTACTGGCTGCATGAAAGATGATGGCTAGAGAATGGTCCCGAAGCGCTGTCCTATCTTCTGCAGAGCTCATTGCCCACCAGAAAGGACAGATAGAGAAGCAGCCACCATTTGAGATCTACCTGTGCTTCGGGGAAGAATGGCCGGATGGGAAGCCCCTGGAGAGGAAGCTCATCTTGGTTCAGGTGAGAAGATAAGGCCATGTCGGCAATGTCGGCAGCTCTTCTTTGTGCTGGTGGTTCAGCCCTCAGCTGAGATGAGTTCTGGCTGAGCATCTGTTGATGCATATGTATTTTCATGCCCTCAGAGATGCAGCAGATTTAAGCTTTGCACAGTAGGACTGTGCTGGACAGCACCACATTCTTATCATTCTTACCATGGGCTGACAGTGTAATGGACACCTTGCCTTTCATTCTCCTGCTGATGTTAGGGGCTTGCTAATATCTTATGAGGGGTAACATTTTCCATCTCGTTTTGTGAAAAGTTTTGGTCATGCTTGTAAGATGTAGCCATGTTCTCGGGATGGTAGCAAGTCTACTTGGGACTGTGCATGGAGTTAGGGGCCAAGACAGGCAGTGGATGTCAGTCACATGGAGTTAGGGGCCAAGACAGGCAATGGATGTCAGTCACATGGAGTTAGGGGCCAAGACAGGCAGTGGATGTCACAGGGAGTTAGGGGCCAAGACAGGCCGTGGATGTCACAGGGAGTTAGGGGCCAAGACAGGCAATGGATGTCACATGTAGTTAGGGGCCAAGACAAGCCGTGGACGTCACAGGGAGTTAGGGGCCAAGACAGGCAGTGGATGTCACAGGGAGTTAGGGGCCAAGACAGGCCGTGGACGTCACCTGATCCAGTTTTCTAGATAAGCAGCCGTCTAGCTAGGCATGTGGAGTGACGCCACATTCAGGCTCCTTACCTTGAATCAACCAGCTTCTAGGTGAACCTTGACGAGTGAAAATCCAAGTTTGGGTGGGGAGGGGCCTTCTCAGAGCCTCGTGGTTCTTCATCCATGTTGGGGCTCTTCTGTTACTGAAAAATGCCTGTTCGTCAGCAAAAACTCGTGTGCTGTTGCCTGAACAGGTCATTCCAGTGGTGGCTCGGATGATCTACGAGATGTTTTCTGGCGATTTCACCCGGTCCTTTGACAGCGGCAGCGTTCGACTGCAGATCTCCACCCCAGACATCAAAGATAACATCGTAGCTCAGCTCAAGCAGCTGTACCGCATCCTTCAAACCCAGGAGAGCTGGCAGCCCATACAGCCTGCCCCCAGCATGCAACTGCCCCCTGCCCTGCCTGCCCAGTGATCCTGATTGCTGTGTGTGTCCTCTTCTCTCCTATCTTTTTTATATTGTACAGATGGATTTTTTTTATTCACGTTTAACCAACTTCTAAGTCTCCTTTCTCTAACAACATTAGAGGTCTGTGACTTTCCAAATATGCCTAGTTTTAAAGTTGCTCTAATTTATCAAGATCACATCCCTCTGAGGGGTTCCTTTTAGATCTTCCACAGTGGGTGCAGGAGAGATTTGATTTGGGAGTTTAGACACCAGAGTTCTAGCTGCAGCTTCCACGAGGCAGGTCATGTGACTTGAGGGCTTCAGATATATCGCTTGTAAATAAATGAGGTTTGGGGTGATGCCCGACTGCATTCAGCCTTAAAACTCTGACTTGATTACATTCCTCTACTTTCACAAGGCAAAACTGCCCAGAACAGGACCCTCCTGTGTTATTCTTACACCCGCCCCCTTGCTTTCATCAAAGTTCCTCAAGCACTGATCTGTCCTGAACTGAGCTCTGTTTGACTTGTTCTGCTGGTACAGTATGCTGGCTCCCTGCTGGGAGAAGGAAGGAGAGGAGCTGACTGGTTGCCTAGGAACCCGTCTGATAACTAAATAGAAATGGGTGCCAAGGTCTGAAAGTCACCCAGCCTGTGGCGTTAAAGCTCATAAAGTGAGCGTCAAAGGGGAAGCTGGTGACATGAAAAGCCGAGGGATTCCGTGAAAGAATGGTTGCCAGGTGTTTGTCTTCTCCCCACTCACGCCACCTGCTCTGTGGGGTGGATGAGAGCACCTGACTCCATGGTGGACTCAGGGAGGAAGGTCTGCTTTTTCTCATTTCCTTCTCTGAAGACGACCTGGAGGGAGCTAGGCACCTAGGATATATTCTGACGACAAAAGGGGTGGTTCTTGTTTACCAGGGTCTTCCTGACATTTGGGTTTTTCTAATGGGAAGAATGAGGTGTTAGGTTTGTTAACAGTCTGGGCAGTGCTCTTCTGGGAAGGGCTCAGCCCAACTTCAATCTCTAGCTGTGAGCAATGGAGACAAGCCGTGCAGAGCACTGCAGCTGGGTCTCAGAGTGTCTGCCCTAGCCACTTCTTAGGATTTGAACTCCAAGACTCAGATGAAAAACGATGTGGATCTCCGGTTATAGGCCCTATCCTCTTGAATACTGATGTCTATTTGTGTGCACATGTGTATAGTCTGCTGCCCTTAAACTAAGAATCACACCTCCTGTTTTTCAAGCCACTGAAAGTTGGGATGGATTTAAAGTCTAAAAGCTCAACCTGATCTTGGATGACCATGAGGCTTACTTAGGATGCTGAAGCTTTGGTTTAAAACCCTTTGAGAGATTGTTAAAAGAAAGGTGACTGTGGAGGCTGGTGGTGGCGCACGCCTTTAATCCCAGCACTCGGGAGGCAGAGGCAGGCGAGTTCCAGGCCAGCCTGGTCTACAAGAGCTAGTTCCGGGACAGGTACCAAAGCTACAGAGAAACCCTGTCTTGAAAAACCAAAAAAAAAAAAAAAAAAAAAAGGCGTAATTGTACACACATACACAAAGTGCTAACTAAAAATTTTTTAAAAGATAAATTTAGGTAAAAGTCTAAAAGCTGGATTTTTATAGACCAGGAATCATACAAGGTATAGGGACTTTTTTTTTCTTTTGGAGGAACATGAAGTAGCATCACTTGGTGAATTGAAGTGAGGGAATCTTGATGTGTGGCAGCTCAAAGTTAAAATAACCCATTATAGGAAAAGTGGAAGGGCAGCTGTGGAATGGGGCCATTTCCTCCACCCACCCCCAAGCCCCTGAAATGTAACAGATTATTAGGGAAGCCCAGGTAACCAGAACTGGTAAAGGATGTTGAAAAATGTTCTGAAGTGCCATGGACCAAACGCTCAGTGCGTGACTGTGATGGGAAGCTGAGGAGTGCATTAGGTGGAGGAACGCTTTTGTGTGGTCCTCACTAGACAGCCCAGGGCCTTCCTTGTCTTGCATCTTTTCCAGGATGCTGGGAGAGTACGTTACACGCAGGGATCTTCTCTGATCATCTTCAGTAAGCTTTCTCTGGTTTTGGTAGACACCAGGTATCCTCTTTTAGGGTTCGGTTTTCTGCCTCTTCCATTCCCTCCAGAGCTGTTTTCTTCCTTGCCTTCCTCTCAAGACTCAGGAGGGAGGAGGATTCTCCCTAGCACCTCCTTTTCCTCCAATGTGCACTCTAGATTAACTCAGAGTTAAAAAAGAACCCACTGCAGGTAAACTGGGAGGGCAGATGTCAAGTCTGGGCTCCTCCCCATAATCAAGTCCCTGGTTGTATGTTCCCATAGCATCTTAAACTTTCAGAATAACTGTGTTCTGTGTAAAGTCCTCACCACCTATGCTCTACGTGACTGTTTGTCTTGGACTGACTGCCAGGCCTTCGGCAGTGTCTGATACAGTGTGTTCTCAGATATTTGTGCTGTAATAAATGAACTAAGTCTTCCAACTTGGAGATTTATTGCTAACTGCCATGGGGATATAAAATAAAATTGGAAAGGAAAAAATATAAAGCTAGAGTACTGGTTGTATCAACTTTTAGTATCTGATGCCCCCTGAGCTAAGAACCTAAGTTAGATTGTCAAGCCCTACAACTGGTCTTCCTTACATGCTGTCTGTCTTTAACCCCACTGTTGGTCCTTTTCTGTCTGAAGGTACCAGCAAGGTAGAGCCAACCTCCAGTCCAGGTCTCCATTCCGCTGCTCATAAATTGGCATTTTTTCCAGGCTAGAGTTTCCTTAAGATTTTAAGGTTAAATTGCTGGTAGTTTAAAGACCTTAATTTCTTATGTCAATACGTGTCCTTCTTTAGTATCTGGTTGTGAGATTTTTCTCTGGGGAAAGGGACAAGGCAACATTTACCTCCCTTCCTAAGGTCCCAGTGACAAATGGGGGGGTACATTTCCACAGAAGTCAATCTGGGGAACCAATGAAGACTCACATTAGGCTTACTCACAGAGCAGTGGGTGAGGGGTGGCCGGCAGGAGCATGGGTGGCCTTAAAGCAGCCATGATGGGTGCAGGCCTTTAATCCCAGTGCTTGGGAGGCAGAGACAGGCAGATCTCAGTCTATAAAGCGAGTTCCAGGACAGACAGAGCAGTAACACGAGAAACCTGTCCTGAAAAACAAAACAAAGCAAAACAAAAAGCAGCAGCCTCAATGGGAGTTCTACACCCAGTATGGAGGTTAACTCTTCTATGACTTCCCAGAGGATGCTCCCCTCCCTGCCCTCCGATGTTTTCCCAGCCTAGATACTTCTTGAGACAACATTCAATTGGTTGAATTGGCTGGGTATTCCGGCGAGGGTCTCAAGATCCTCCTTCTACAAGGGAATGTCAACAGTTAAGCCTAGTTGAAATGTTCTTTTGCAAGACCGCACAGATGAACTCATGAAAATGGTGGCACTTTGGCTCCAAGGATAGGCAGGTACGCCACTACCTGGTACACTTGGCCCCTGGATCTTCACTTCTTGTTTGATTCCCCTATTGTGGGGGCATGGTGGCACAGACTCTAACCTCAGCACTCTGGAGGCCGAGGCAGGAAGATTGTCATACATTTGAGGGGCACATAGAAAGACATTGTCTCAAAAGAGCACAACAGGGTGGCTATAGAGACTCAGCGGGTAAGAGCGTTTACTTTTCTTCCAAAGATTTGAATTCGGCTCCCAGAACCCATGTTGGGCAGCTCGCAATACTTTTAACTTCAGGTCTGAGTGATCCTACTCCCTTTTTTGGCTTCTCAGGCACCCACACATACGAACATATGAATGAAAGTTAAAAAAACAAAAAAACAAAAACAACAACAACAACAACAAAAAACTCTTTAAAATGATCAGCAAACTGGACTCTTGGGCCTTGAGGTCCACGAGATGGGGTTGCTGTTTTATACAATGCAATACCTCTCCCGCCTAGGCACACTCAGTTAGTGAGTGTTAGTTAGTATGCCTAAAATCTAGAGCTCAGTCTCCAACACGGCATAAACCGGAGAAGTCCCGTCCCCTGCCAGCCCCAGCTACACAAAACGCTGTCAAAGTAAAATAATACTGGCTCAGCAGTTAATGGCACTCGCTAAAAAGGAGTGAATATTCACGGTCTTGGCACTCAACTTATCACGTCCAGGATTTAGGGGCATTAAAATAAAATAAAATAAAACAAAATAAAAAGAAGCTTTATAGCATTGCTCACAGAAGAGGCATCTCCACTACATTGCCGACTAAATAGTTGCTCGTCCAGGAACTACCTCTCACTTCCGCCCGGCAGCCCAGCCGGCTTCAGTTCTACCGGAAGGGGTTTGTCTGGGGTGACTGTACTTCCTATTCCGTTCCTGTCCACGGTCTCGTCAGTGGTTCCGGCTTGCGTTCGCGTTTACGTTCTGAATGACGTCGCAGAAGGGCGGATAAGGGTGGTGTGTGCTCGTGCGTCAGACTGTCTTTGCTGGGGGTTCTTCTCATAACCGTGGAGCTTTCGCGGTTTTGTGTGGGGCGTGGGACGGCCAGTTACCTTCCTGGCCGCTGGCAGGGAGCCGGAAGGGCTTTCTGCGACCCCGCACCTGCAGCGGAAGTACAAGCCTTGAGTCAGGCCTCTGCCTTACGTAACTAGTCTCTAATCTCACGCGTGGGTACGTGTGGTGGAGGGAACGTGTCTGCCCAGAAGGGAAGGCGGGCCCAGTCGTGTTAAACTGTGGCCCTGCCCCACTTCTAGCCGCTTCCACTTACCTGTGTGTCTAAGGGCGAGGCGGTGGTTACTCCGCATTCTTGCTTATGCTGGTTTGATCAGGCTGCTGTGAGAACTCTTTTTAGTGGGAGAAAGGGGGGGTTGGAAAGCTGACGTTTGGAGCCCAGAGCTCTGTGTCTGAAGGGCAGTTTGGAGAGAAATGGTGGTAACTTTTACCAGAGACTGACCAAGATGCCTTAAGGTTCGAATCCCAAAGCGTAAACTGCACCAGGTAAAAGTTAGAGTCGAAGCCAGAGACAATATAAATGTGGCTAGAAGACCAGAAGCACCGCTTCGGAAAACTTAAGTCTGCCAGAGAAATGGGGTGCACTGGTGACCCTGTCTTGATAGTGTTAATAATTTCCCCCCAACCACATTGTTCCTAGGCTCTTCCTTAAGTGTTGGAGCCTGGACTGTGACCCAGGGAAGGGAACCGTGGCTAGCTAAGGAGGCCGAGCTTCACGTAACTTCCAGATCTCATGTCAACACCAAGCCCGCAGCTGCTCGTGGCAGCTGCTCGGCAGACCCTGGGTACCAGAAAGAGAAAGGGCCCACCTCGAGCTGTCTGTCTTCACCTAGCAGGAGAGGTGTTGGCTGTGGCTCGCGGGCTGAAGCCTGCTGTTCTCTATGATTGCAACTCTGCTGGAGTGTTGGCGCTCCAGAGCTATCTGGAGGAGCTGCAGAGGCTGGGCTTCCTGACATTGGGACTTCACATTCTTGAGATTGGAGAGAATAATCTCATTGTCAGTCCTGAGCATGCCTGCCAGCATCTGGAGCAGGTACTGCTTGGTACCACAGCCTTAGTGGATGTTTCCTGCTCCCAGCCTCATCCTTCTGTCTGTTCACTGGACCAGCTCCAGGACTTGAAATCTCTCATAGCTGAGATCATCACACATTTTCAAGGACTGCAGAAGCATGTGTCTCTGGGAGTCTCCTCCAGCAAGCTGCCTTCCTCATCTTGGAATCTCTGCACTGTGTTGGGGATACTCCTGGGCTATCCTGTCTCTTACACATTTCATCCGGACTACGGAGATGGCAACTGCTTAGCCATGACTCCCTTGCGGGTGTTCACCGTCCAGATTTCATGGCTGCCTGCTCAGCCTCCACTTCTGCTCTACTCCTTCAGTGTTCCAGAGAGTTTGTTCCCAGCCCTGAGGAACTTTCTGAGTACCTGGGAGAAGGAGCTCAGAACCCGATTTAGGACTCAGAATGACTTTGGCGACCTCAGCATTTCCTCTGAGATAGTCACACTGCCTGCCGTGGCCCTCTGACTTAACTCTGCCCATTGAGAAGGTATTAGTGAATGCTTATCTCTGGGTGGAAGATGTCATATCATTCTGCGCGTCTTGGGAACAATGTTGTTCAGTTCCTTGGCCACATATGTGAATGGGGATGGCTGCTGGCAGCAGTAGTATGTTTTCCATTTCTGTCAGGAGTTCCTGTGTATTAGCAGAGGTGTCTGTTTTTCATTGACTAAGAAATAGAAGGAAAGAGTGGGGCAAGGAGTGTTGTGGAGATGAAGCAGTACACCTGCCCTGGTGGATGGTGCCTTCGAGGAAAAGGGAATGGCTGATTCCTTCGCATGTTATGTAGCTCTAATTGAATTAGGAGATGAGACCATAATGTTCAGGTGTCATATGTGTGCCGTGTTTTCCAGAAATACACAGTTCTGAAAAACAGTCTTGTGAGATAAAGTTTATTTACAGCGTGGTGAAAAACAAAACAAAACAAAACAAAACTAGGAATCTGTATTCACTTGAAGGGAAAACTGAAGTAAAGTACCAAAACTCAAGTTTTTCAGGGAGTCGTTTGCTTCTAGCTTCCCCCAGACAGACGCCAGAAGTTCCTCAGATCCCCAGGCTGTCTTTGTTTGCCAGGAACACCACCAGTGCTGTAGCCATCACCACCATCAGCACCGGGAGCCACTGGCCACACTGCCGCTGTGTGGAAGGAGGCGGAGACAGGAGAGAGCATCTCTGAGTTAAGAGGAAAGACGGGCAAGAACAGTGTTTGGTGCTCTAACAGCAGAAAGCCCTATGTTGGTGGCAGAAAAGACATTTTTGCTTCAGTGTCTCTCCCACTTTCTGTCACCTCCCTTGAGATAAAACCATTTTACTAGTGGCCTAGAGACTCATATCCAGTAGGGGACAGATATTTAAATGCTGATATGACTATTCAAAGTAGAAAATAATTCACCAACATAATACTCTCTTTGTGTCCCTCAATGCTTTTTAAGTCTTCCTCCTGCCCTTGCCGTATTTTCATAATAAATCAAAAGAGCTCTTTTATACTTGAGCCAATACAGGTTATGTATCATTTTTCTGAAATGCTTGGGATTAGGAGTGTTTCAAATTTTTACTTTTTTTTTCATTTTGTAACATAAGTATGGACTTTACCAGTTGAGCAGGCCTAATAAGGCCCTAGATCACAAATCCCAAATGCTCTGAAACCATCTGCAGCTTTTGAGCATCGTGTTTGTGCATGCGCAGTGTGTTTGGGGTCTAGAACATGTCAGGCTTTCAGAGTAGGCTCTATCTAGTGTGGGTGGACCATGGGCAGCATTTCGTCCATATTTATCCATAATATATTATTTAATATCGCCATATTGTTGGCATAAGTGGAACAGGGCAGGACTACCAGATGTTGGTGTGAACTGATGTGTTTTATCAGTAAGACTGGGCATGGAAAAGGAACTACCCCAGTGTCGTGTAGGGCTATGGAGAAGGATGGGCCCTCCTGGCTGTGGCTCAGGGCTTCTTGACAGTGCTGTAGCTTTCCAAGACAGGAGTGGTGCTTGTCATTGAGAATGTCGAGCTCTGAATGCAGCTCTCTGCACTGGGGACAACAGAACAGAGTGCCACCGTTTCAGTCTGGGACGTAACTCTGGAGGAGGACTGCCCTGAGTACCGTACTCCTTCACTTTTTTTAGTGAGCCATTCTCCCCGCTTTTCTCAGAGATTTTAGTTAGTCGTTTTCCTATCACACAGTTTATCTGGAATATGTTGAGTTATATGATTGGTTATGCTTCATATATTACATTTGATGCATGGAAATGCTTAATTTTTTATATTATTTGTTGTTGATGTGCGTGTGTCTGCGTGTGTGCTGATATTACAGTGCATGTGTGGGAGTTGGAAGGCAACCCCTGGAATCACCTCTCTCCTTCTACCATGTGGGTCCCAGGGACTGGATTCAGGTCATCAGGCTTGGCCGCAGGTGCCTTTACCTGCTGAGCCAGCTTACTGGCCCAATCCGTGCACATGCTTTTCTATGACTTTGTGAAAGTGTTTTGCAAGTGGGCGTACTAAAACGCATTTCTTACAGCACGAAAGACTTAGCAGTCATTGGAGGACAAGTCTCTCCTCCTTGGGAGCTGGCTGCTTCTGCACACTTCCAAGGGTGTGTGAGTTTGGAAGTATGTTCCTAGGGCAGCGTTTGCCGTTTAAAAGATTCTATGTAAGATAAAAGCACTGTGACACTTAGTATGTGACAGAATTTAAGAAGTGAATGTGTTTAGTCAAATATGTTTATCTTCTGGTTGACTTCATAATAGTCTATCAATATAACCTTGATAGGGGTTCTTATCAGTTAGGAAGGAGAAAGATTGCAAGTCTACTCAAGAGCAGAGAAATTTGTACAAGAAAATGAACACCTCTGGGCATCTAGTCACAATTTTAGCTTGGAAGTTCCTGCCTTCCAGTTGCCTCTCAGAAGGTTTTCCTGCTCTTTACAGTCTAGATCAGTGGTTCTCAACCTGAGACCCTTTTTATATAGGTCTTCATGTTGGGGTGACCCACAACTATAAAATTATTTCGTTGCTACTTCAAAACTGTACTTTTGCTACTGTTACGAATCATAATGTAAATATCTAATTTGCAAGATATCTGATATGCAACCCATAGGTTGAGAACCACGAATCTAGATCAACCCTCACAATCTGGATGAGTGCTCAGTCTGGATGAGCACTCACAGTCTGGATGAGCACTCACGGCCTGGATGAGCACTCAGTCTGGATGAGCACTCACGGTCTGGATGAGCACTCACGCCCTGGATGAGCACTCACAGTCTGGATAAGCCCTTACACTGAGGTTGCCTCCTCACCTCCTTTTCCTTGGCCCGGAGCTGAGATGTCTCCTTTTGTAGCTGGTCTCTGAGCTCCCAGTCTTTCTCCTTCCCTGTACTCTCGGGCTTTGCTTCATCAAGGGAGAGCTTTGGATTCCACACAGGTAAAGCCTGATCTAGAAGAGCAGCAACACCCTTGTTTGTGAGGGCTGACCCTGTCATTGAGAATCCTCAGGGTTTGCAGAATAGGGAGACGGCAGGTTTGTCCTTGCCTTTGCTGAACGCAGTAGAACATTCTGCATTAAAGAGCTCTGGTGTGCCCTGTGGCCTGGACACATAGCTGGCCTCAGACTTCTTGAAGCAAGGTTGACATCTCATTTTTCTTTGAACTTGTCTTAATCTGATCATTTTAGTGAATACTTGCTAATGGAAATTGTTTCTCTATTGTCATGTTATCTAGCGTCTCACACCGAGGTTTCCTCGGTGCTTCTGTCTAACTCTGCACTCTTTGCACCTTTCACCTCTGTGTCCTGAAGATGGAAGTCTTTCTAGATTGCCTCTTAATGTTTAAAGCTAGGTTTTTCAGCCACCTTGTAGTTCTGGTTTTGGAGGAAAGAGCACTGGACTAGAGTCAAGTTCTGGGTTATTGTTTTAGTTCAGTCCTTGATTTATATGGCTAGAGATCTTTATTTTCTTGTCTGCCCCATGTGGGCACAATCCTGTATTACACCCAGGAGTTGTGAGAATAAAACAGCAGGCTGTGTGCTGTCCTTAACCGAGGAGCCGCTGGGGCCTGTGTGTGGCTGATGGGCCCCTGGCAGGCGTGGGCAGCAGACTGGTCAGGGCTAGAGTGAGCGAGAGGACTTGTGTGCTGTGTGGTTTGGGCTAAACTGGCTGTGATTTTATAAAATCAACTGTGTAAAAACTGACATGAAATTGTGAGTTCAAAATCAATTTATTGAAATGTTCAACACAGACAATGTTTTCAGAGAAAGTAGAAACCCTTTCCCAGTTTATGTACCTCTCGGAGTAGAAGGCTGCCTGAGATGTCCGGGTCAGAAACTTTTCCCTACCTCCCTGACGTCACAGACTCTCAGGAGTGGGTGGGACCCCAAGAAGTCATGTAGTCCATACCCAGCCTCTAGGCAGACAAAGGAAGAGCAACATTTAGTGCGAGTAAATTTGCTGACCTTTCTTTAAGAGTTTCTCCTGTTCTTGGTGGTGTAAGGACTGTTTCTGAAGCAGACCTGTTGAGAGACAGACAAAGCCAGGGTCAGACATCCCAGATGTCACCATCTGTGAGGGACTGGATGCTGCTCCTCAGAATTTTTGTGTGGAAGTCCTCACTCCTGTAATGTGACATTTCCTGGAGATGAGTCTTTGAAAAGGTAACCAAGTGAAAGTAAGGTCATTAACACTGGCCCTAGTCCAGATAACCGCTGCTCTTATAAGAAATACGCTCCAGGGGAAGCATGCGTAGACACGTCAGCCAGCCAGCCACCTGCACAGCCAAAGAGAAGTTGCCAAACCTCTGGACAGCTTTTTGATTTTGGATGGCAGACTCCAGAAACGGCTTTTTTTTTTTTTTTTTTTTTTTGAGACAGGGTTCAGGGTTTCTCTGTGATTTTGGAGCCTGTCCTGGAACTAGCTCTTGTAGACCAGTCTGGTCTTGAACTCACAGAGATCCGCCTGCCTCTGCCTTCCAAGTGCTGGGATTAGAAATGGCTCGTTTTTGTCCAAGTCATTTCATTACAAATACACCGTCCTTATGTCAGCCTCTGCCTGTGAGTCTTTGCTTAATTTCGCTTTAGGAGGAACTTGCTCTCAGATGACCTTCTACATGACAATGACTAATTTTGCCTTGACACTGCTGCTTTTTCTCTGTAGTAGTTATTGACTTGACACACTTTGATTTCTTTTCCATGGAAGCCCCTACTGCTGGACTTGCTTAGAATGGAAGTTTCTTAAGAATCGATTGCTTTTGCTTATGCTGTGCCCCCAGTACATGTTTAGGGTGCCTGACTCGTGTAGGGGTTGAATGAATGCTTATCATCTGAACCAGCTCTAGCGAGAAAGATCTGAGGGACATGTTCATGTGAACACATGGAATGTATAACAAAAGAACCATCTTAGAACGCCTAATACTTCTTAAAATGGACAGTCCTGGGGCTGGGGCAACGGAAGAGCTGTACACACGCGAGGACTGGATTTAAATTGTCAGCATCCATGTAAAACAGGGCATGGCTTCTTGCTCCTGTTACCTTAATGCTGTCAGGTCCGGGGCAGCGGAGGGAAGATCACTGGGGCTTGCTGGCTAGCCTGGCTGGGAGACAGCGACTTCCCTTTCTCGGGGGACCAAGGCAGGGAGTGACACAGAAGATGCTCAACACCCTCCAGCCCCCTTGCCTCTGTGCGCATTTCATGGGCTCCCATACACACCACACACATACACATAGCATGCACACATACCGCATCACACATCACACATACGTATCACAACTCTTCCTACATCACACACACACAGTTCACACACACACAGTTCACACACACACACACACACACACACACACACACACACACACACGCGTGCGCGCCGGAATTCTTGTAGGAATGTAAATGGTTGTCACTGACAAAGGAGGAGACTAGAGAGGAAACACAAGGACAGATGCTAATATACAACTATACAACTCAGGGAAAGAAATCGACCATATAACTTGTGAGGAGCTATGCAAATGACCCTCCCTTTGCAGGAAGTGGGCTCGAGACTGCCCTGAAGCAGGACACACCAGAGCCTGGGCCTCTGGCCTGTCTTCGAATGCCCTTTGTGGGCGCACACACCGGAAGATGCCTGTGCAGGTTTCAGGCTCTCAAGGACACTTACTCTGCAGCTGCTGTACTCTGCTCACCAGGACCTGTTTCTCCTCCTCTGACCGCTTTAGCCGATCTGAAAGTGAAAGAATGCAGACTGAAACAGAGGTGGAACCGAGAAGCAGTCCTGTCCTCGCCAGGGCCTTTCGGATCTGAAGAGGAAGGGCACCATCGCACATGAACACACAGTGTTGCGTACACATGCCCCCGGGTCCCGTCAGCCCACACCGGCACTGCTGGGAAGCCTTTGTTCTGCCAGTGTTTGTGCTAACCTTTCCCTTTCAAATTAGGAATATGGCCTTGGCATGAGACCTGCGTGGGAGCAGCTGTGGTCTGGCCCACAGGGACAGGCCAGAGAGAAGAGCATACAAGGTCCTAGAGAAACCCAACTGATGTTCATTTAGGGTGATGAAGGTAGAGCCGCCTTTCCCTTGAGTAAAGATGGAATCATAAGGGCAAGAGACCAAAGCCTCCCCCGAGACTCCTCTCTCTGAGCTCATTCAGCTGTGGTTCTCACGATCCTGGGACCCCCAAGAAGAGGAGTACCTAGTAGGTCCTGGTGTCGGAGCTCATTCAGTTGTTCTCACCCCTGAAGTTGTGGGACCCCCAAGAAGAGGAGTACCTAGTAGGTCCTGGGTGTGGGAGCTCTGCTGCTCTCGGTCCCCTTGCAGGCGCTCGATCGTGGCCTGCAGCTCCTGGTGCTCATTTTCTAGAAGTCGCAGGGCCTGGTTCATCTGTGAGCCTCTGCTGTCTGCTCCCTGAGAGGAGGCGGCGGCACACAGCGGCATGTCAGTGTGCGTGGAGACCGAGCAGGTGCCATGGAATAGAAGACGGCAGAACGTTAAGAGCCTGGGATGCAGGGACGTGTTCTCTATCCTTCATGTTTCCAACAGCGCATCTGACTTGATATCTACTGGGGATAGTGTCCCAGCGCCTCGGCAGACCTCCAATCAAGTCAGAACTTTTCTAGCTGTCCCACTGTGCCTTCACTTTCAGCATGATCAGTTGTGAGGAAGAGAGCCCTGTGCTGTGCACCCAGTGAGATCTGTGCCTCGAAGAGTCGCGCTCCCTCTCTCATCAGCTGCACGCGTGCCTGCGTGTGTGTGTGTGTGTGTGTGTGTGTGTGTGTGTGTGTGTGTGTGTGGTTTCTGAGCTCTGTTGGGGGGAAATTGTAAAGATCCACTTTGGTGACAGATCCTCAAAGTTCCAAACTAAGTAAGTGAAATCTATGTGTTACTGAAGATTGTGGGGAGCCCCACCGGGGGTGCCATATATTACTGGGAAATTGGGGTCTCCTCTCTGAGTTCTTAGATTTGTTAATAAAAAAAATTAACACTTCAAGGAAATTTCTCTTTGCAACAGAGCCCACTACAGAAAATCACAATCAATCAAAATGCATCCTTGTGGAGCCCAGTTTCAACGGATACATGTACAACATGTCCCCAGCACCTGAGGGAACATTGCAGAAGACGCGCAGAAAGACGAAGAGCCAGAGGATCAGGGATCAGGGAGTTCGCTGTGAGAGCTCATCTCCTAGCAACATCAGAAATGACGCCCACAAAGTCTCCTCAACATGTCGGCTCAAATGTGCAGGGAACAAGGACGACAATGCTGGATGGGGCAAAGCCCATGAGGCTTTGACCCCACAAAACAACCACAGACAACTGAGGACAGCTGGGTCAGAGAGGGGGTCTCTCCCAGGGAAGAGCACACCAGGTGTTTGTCCAGTCAAATGGTCAGCCCTGAAATCATACATGCAAGTTCCTATTTGGGAATATATATATATATATATATATGCACATACATCTAGGCATGCAGTAATAATCGATGAAAAAGGCCATGAATTTTAAGGAAAGCAGGGAATGATATATGGGAAGGTTTGGAGGGAGGAAAAGGAAGATAGAAATTAAACTCTCAAGAATATAAAAATTGAAGAAAGGTGGTTAATGTTAAAAAAAGAACAGATTCTGAAAGAAGCTTTTTCTTAGTTAAAAGGAAAATACCCCAAACAATAGCAACGGTGATGATGGGCGTACTGTAAAATCTCAGCAGCTGCCTAGAGGGCAGAGATGAGGAAGAGGAAAAGAAAGCCACGACTTTTGAGTTAGGGATGGAGGCTTGGCGGTTTGGCAAACAGCCATATGGCAAAGAGGAGAGACAGAGAATAACTTCAGAGAAAAAGAGTAAGAAAGCCCAGAGTGTTCTGGAAGCATACCTTGACTTTGGCAAGTATTAGAAAGAGAGAGGAGATGAAAGATTACACTTTTCTGGGAAACTCAGAAAAATGGGCAGGTTTCCCGGGAAGGAAAGTGCACCTCTTATTAAATGGTTGATTATTCTTCCTTCTTTGTCGTGGGTTAAGGTGACTCTGCCTTCCTGAGGGGTAATTAGCCAGATGATTGAACAACTCCAGTGGGTTAACTCTTGGTTTTAGATAGCTAGGAATGCTAGGTCTCCACCCAGGCCAGAAGTAACACACGCAAAGTAATCGTTAACCTGTATCAAGTGCTCATAGTACCATAGACTATGCTAAACACTTCGCGTGGCTATCCATATTTAACTCATGCAATAATACTGTGATAGGAAGACTATCACCCTTATTTTGCTGATGAGGAAGCAGGCTTATCGAGAGTAATTAGGTTTTCTAAGGCGACAAATTGAAAGCATAGGAACTTTTGAGTATGTCAAGGGTTTACAGTAATTTGATAAGAAACACATTGGCAGGATGTGTTAATACCTGTAAATAAGTTAGTAACATTTAAGTTGTGCACTGCGTACTCTGCTGGGGTGGTGTCTGACTTAGGGTGCAATTCAGTGGCGGTTCCAGCCCAGGCATTTGTATCTGGCTAATGCCTTTCCAGTGGGTACTTAGTTCTTTTGCATGAGCAGTGCAGGCATTAGTTCTAAGTACAGAATCACAGTTCAGAGGCAGAACAGTGGGTCTAGTACTAAGTGGACCGTGGGGTGAAGACTGGAAAGCTCCTTGTTGCACGTATGAAGCCTTTGGGGCCCAACCCTGGAGCATCTTTTCTCCCCAGACCCTTTCCCTCACTCCTGCCCTCCTTCCCCTCCCATGCTAAGAGCCCAGTACCTGTAGTTTGGACTGAAGCACATGCAGTTGACTCTCCAGCTCCCTGTGCTGCTCCCCTAGGGTCCTCCAGTCCTCCTTAAGAGCCTCGTACTGACTCCTCCACTCTTCACACTTCTGCTCAGCAAAAGCCAGGGACAGCTGAAAGAGACCAGAGGAGAGTGTTCCCAAGGAGCAGACGCTTAGAGAGAGTGAACACACTGAATTCTGCATTTGCTTATATTGTAGTTTAAAATGCAGGATGAGCTTGAGGAGTATGGTCTCTGGAGTGTGTAGTTGGCCACCTTGCTCTGGGGACTGTTCCCTGCCCCCAGGGTCCCGGCTCCCAGAGCTGCACAGCGTCCCCACCTGCATAGTGTCCCCACCTGCACAGAGTCCCCATCTGCACAGCGTCCCCACGTTCCCACCTGCACAGCATCCCCACCTGCACAGCGTCCCCACCTGCTCAGCGTTCCCACATGCACAGCGTCCCCACATGCACAGCGTCCCCACCTGCACACTCTGAAGTTGCCGCTCCACACTCATTTTCTCCTCCAGCACTTTCTGCAGCGACTCCTTAGCCTTCTGCTCATAATTGCTTCTCTGGTCTTCCATCTCCAGCAGCACCTTCTTCATTCCCCAGGGAGTATGTTTCTGTAAACCAGAAGCAATCCGACAAATACACAGTGAACTTCTGCCCACCCGACAGCTGGGACACACACAGGGAATGAATGATGCAGGTCCTGTTTCCAGGGCAGAGACACCAGTTGTCTGGTAGGCCTTTTCTTCAGGCTGGAGCTGAGCAGAGGAATCCCTTAGGGTGTCTGAGAGGTGCCTGCCATTGGCAGGGTACTTCTGCAGCTGCCTCCTCCTCTGTCCTCTCAGCTGGTTCGCCTCTGCTGAGCTCCAGACTCAGGGCATGCACCACGTCTGTTAAATCTCCCCTAACTCCTCCATCCCCAGCTCTGGTGGCTTTGCTGAGCACTGACGTACTGGCATTCGTGAGCATGGGACCCATTCCTCACTGCTCCGCCCTTGGATGGATCTCCCTCACTGCACTGGAAACAGTTTCCAAATGGAGACACATTGCTGCCTGAAAGAAAACGTCCCGGGACTCTGAGGGCCTACTTAGTGTTCTAAAAGTCGTATTACATCTGCATTAAATGTTCCCCTGGTTTGGTTTTTTTGTTTTTTTGTTTGTTTGTTTATGACAGGGTTTCTCTGTGTTACAGCCCTGGCTGGCCTGGAACTCACGCTGTAGACCAGGCTGGCCTAGAACTCACAGAGATCCTCCTACCTCTGCCTCCCAAGTGATGGGACTAAAGGCGTGCACCACGACTGTCAGGTGAAATGTTTCCCCTGGTTTTATGACCAAGGAAAATACCCCCAAACCAGATAAACTAGATTTGCAGATCCACTGAAGTTGGGTGCCTGTGTTTTACCTTTTGGGTTTGATTTGTGAGGAAGGCAGGCAGCTTTCACAGTTAGTGCTAGACCTGTCTGGGAGAACCCAGAGAACGGAGACGGAGGAAGGAGCATTAGGAGCCATTTTTGTTTCACTTTGGGATTGTCAGAAATTTTGTATTTGTATCTGAAAGGGTGCTCTGCTTTTTTTGGGTTTTTCATTAAAAATCAAACCAGAGAGAGACTGGTTGAAGTCAGGCATGGTGGTGTCCTAGTTATCGAACTTAATAACAGTCGTCGCCGACCTGCTTCCTTTCCAATAGAAAATCGATGAGTACCTGAGCACAGTTGCTTATGCCTGTAACTCCAGCACTGGGAGGCTGGTGGGAGGATCCCAAGTTCAAGGCCAGCTTAATGATGAGACCTTTCTCAAACAACAAACTAAAGACTTGCAATCTGGCTTGCTTGATGGCCTCTTACAAGTTTGGTTGGCATATTTTAGCTAATAAGAGCCTAACAAAGCAGCTCACATTGGAAAGTGAGCAGATGTGTAGACCAGGAAGACTACAGACAATATAAGCTGTTCCCAGCCATGTAGGAAAGTGCGGATCCCTCTAGCTCTAGATGAGAGAAGCCCACCCATTCCCTACTTACCTACTTTTCCTTTAATATTTGTGTGTGTGTGTGTGTGTACACGTACTTGTCATAGAGTGTGAAAAGAGGTCAGGACAATTTGTGAAGGGGTACATTTCTCTCCTCCTACAGCGTGGGTTCCAGGGATGGAACTCAGGTTGTCAGGTTTGGTGGCAAGGGCTCTCATTTAGGAAGCTGTCTTGCTGGCCCCTGCTCTCCCACTTTCTTTCTACCTGTCAGGGGAACTATTTTTTTTTTTTTTGTAACCTGAAATTAGGCCAAATCAAGAGATCACTGAAGCCGAATATTAACAAGGAAAACCAGGATTCCCTTCTTCCAGACTCTTGTGCCCCTTGCTTCCTCCAGGTTGCTAAAAACAACTCGTTCCCAAGATCAATGTTATTTTTGCAGATTCCTGTCACGTCTTCTTCCCCTGCTATCAGGCTGGGCCTCTGGAGACTGCGCGGCACACACCCTAAGGACTGTTCCCCACATCTCCCCAGGAGCCAACATCACGCCTAGTGCTGGGTGTCCTTCCCGGGCTACAGCAGTGCATGCTAGGATACAGAAGGAACCGTGGAGATAGTGACGTAGCTAACTAGGGACCCATGTGAGAACGGACAAGAGTGGAGGTGTGGCAGTCTCCATCTGGTGGAGTGTTTAGAAGGCAGGAGGAAGACTCAAACGTTCTCATCCTATTGACATCAATGTGGTAGAAGTGTTCTTCAGAGCGCTTACCTGCATGCAGGTGTAGAGCTGGTTTTCCAGGGACCTTAGTTTGCCCTTCAGTTTGTCTTCATTAAGCTGCCCCTGAAGTAAACAGGATGAGTTAGTAAAGTAAGGCCTGAAAACACAGACACGGCTGAAGCTTGTTACCATGGGGCTCTGTGGGTTGCCGTGGGTGCTGGCAGGCTGAACCCTTGCAAGTGCAGAGACAGCTGAGGATCTCTCAGGGGAAGTTAGCCTTCTCCCTCACTCTGCTAGGCCAAGGGCCATCCAGACTGGTTCCAGACTCTCTTTGTACTTTCAGTTTCTCTATCAAGTGGCCCAGGCAGCAGAGAAGACCACCGGCAGGGAGGGTCCTAAGCTGTCATTTCTCCCCCCCCCCCCCACCTGCACTGCAGCTTCCCCTACCTTTGTTGCTCCTGGGGAGAATCTGTGTTTGCTACAATGTCCTGTTTGTTGCTCCTGGGGAGAAACTGTGTTTGCTACAATGTCCTGTTTGTTGCTCCTGGGGAGAATCTGTATTTGCTACAATGTCCTGTTACGCGCTGATTGAACTGCGTTTGCCCTTCAGGCCGGAAGGCTGCAGAGAGCTGCAGTACTCCAGGATGGAACGAAATTTGGAGGTAAGCCTTCTAAGAAGTTAACATGCAGTCAAGTCTGGTTTCGCAGTGTTTTTATAAAACAAGATCAGAGTGCCAGGATATACCAAGGGGAGAGCACCTGAAGACAAGAGGGTATCTGCAAACCAAGAGAGACAAAGGGAGAGCCTGGCACTGGTGACACTGGTGGCATACCTTGATCTCAGGCCGGGCAGGGCTGTGGGGCAGAGGTCTCTGTAGGGGTGGCCCTTACATTGCACACACCTCATATCCACTGAGCATTAGTTCCTAGAACCCCTCAGAATGCTCAAGTCCCAGTGTGTAGCACTTACCAATAGCCTATGTATGCCTTCCTGTATGCTTAAAACTGTCTCTGGCTCACTCACAGTACAGTGGAAACACAGCGTAAATGTATAATGTATTGACTTGAGACTAATTACATGAAAAACAAGAAAAACAGGATTTTTTTCCTTCAATTATTCTTGATCCAGTGTTGGATGAATATGAGGCTGTGGAACCTGTGGCTGTGGAGGACTCTGACTGTACTCTTGTGTGTGTGTGTGTGTGTGCGCGCGCGTGCATGTGTGTATGTGCACACGCGCGTGCGTGTGTGTCCTTTCCTCCTTGACAGGACACCAGTGAGAAAGTGTAAAAAGTGAGAAATGAACTTAGAGATATTAAGCAGAGTAGGAGTGGGCCCAGGGAGGGGTAAGGGGGCTTCTGGGAAAGCCACGGAGATATTCAAAAGCTGGGTCTATCTAATGGTCTCATCTGTCTGCCCTCCCCATCACCCCCTGCGTGCCCCAGGTCTTGTGGAGCCTGAGGGAACTTTAAGGCATTTCTTGAGCAAGTGGAGAAGGGTGGGTAGAGGTACAATTCTGGTTTTCAGTCTTTTACATTTCATGTACATTGTTGCTTCTACTTGTAGACATCCCCTTTGCCAAACTGAGTTTTACCCTAGGTGTATCTGGCTGGGGCCGTGGGGGTGCTGTTAACAAGAACATGTTTGTTTGTTTTGTTTTGTTTTAGAGATTTGGTCATGAACCTGTAAGTGGTTTTCACGTTTCTTCCTCTGACTGCTCCACCCTAGTCCTGTGGGACTCTTCGGGAACCTTTCTCCAGCCCTGGATGCCGTGGCTCCTGTCATTGGCGAACAGTCCCAACACTCTTGGTGGGCCACGGCTGTAAAGACTAGGGGCAGAAGAGGGCCTCCGGGGTGAGGGGGGCCTCTGGTGCTGGGACTGGAGGTGCCTGGGGAAGGCAGGAAGTGGTATCACTCCTGTTTTGATTGTACTTGTCTAAGTCTTCTGACCGTGGGGACCAGGGGGAGACCCCATCCGTTCGGCTTCCTGTGTTACTCAGCTGGACCTTGCAAAAAGCAAAAGCCTTTGCCAAAAACAATTTTTAAAGTGCCCCCTATTATTAATGTTTTTCTCAGCTGCATGTGGGAAAGCGTCGAGAGTAAGAGATTTGGCATTTACAATAACCACAGGGCTTGGGACAAATGAGAGGAGGACAAAGGCTCCCACTGTTCAGGCCCAGGCCTAACTGGTAGAGCAGCTACATTCCCCAGAGGGGCCTGTTCATTGTCAGTCTGCAGGCCCTGAACCCAGCTAGCCCCGCCCTGCCACCCTCTGTGCTGGTCTCCCAACAGACTCCGCCAGCTACACCCACCAAGTTTAAAGATTGCCGCCTTATAGCCTGGAAGGAACACAGGCTCCAGACAGTATCCTGGAAATGTCCTCTGGGTAGTTCCCTAGTCTGTAGGATCACTTTCATTCAGTATTTTCCTCTTCCAAGTATTTGCGCATTTCAACCCAACCCCAGATTATTTTTCCATTTATGTTGCAATACAAGATGATTCATGGTAGCCCCTTCAAGTAGGGCTAGGGGCTGCCACCCAAATCTACAGCATGAACAAAATCCCTGGCCCACAGCTCCAGACTCCCTAAGGCAAGCAGGAATGTTGAAGCCAAGTTGCTGCAAATAGAGCAGTCCCTTACCCCTCAGTCTCCCCATGCTGACTTTAGTGTTGGAGACTTAAGAAGTTCTACAGGCTGCTGTGGACCCTATCCAGGAGTCTGGATCGCCTCAGACAGGCCACCCTGGTGGGGAAAGGCAATGGGGAGACCACACACACCTGGTGCTGGTCCGTCCCCTGCCTCATATCTATTTCCAGAAACAGCACACCTCACCCTGGAAGCCTTAGCCCATGGCTCATCTCTGCTCTCACAGAGTTTGCATAGGGTGCAGAGCCAGTTCCCCCTGCGCTGTCATCTCAAGCTCTCAGTTCCGCTTCGCAGATCCACCCCAGCTTCCTCTCCTGCATAGCTGCATCTGTTCTAGTGGTCAGACCCAGCTCTGGGTTCCCAGCAGCTCCAGGAGTGACTCGGGGGGCACTGACTCTGGGGCTCTGATGGAGAGCTTGCTGTGAACATCATCTCTACATGAGAAGCTGGAGATTCATACACAGAATCAAATGGAAGGACAAAGACGACACTTGGCTGAGGTCCGAGTCCCAATGCTGGCCTCATTCATTCAAGTATTTTCTCAGAATCACCAAATGGGGCCACAGTTTCGCTAATATTGAGCCCTTCTTGGGAGGGATGGAGTTGAAGTGTTTTGTTTTGGGAGAAGCAAGGACTCTCAACTGAACAGCTAACAATGACTTTTCTTAAAAACAGGAAGCAGGGAGCGTGGGGTGGGAGGATGAAGAAAAGGGTGGATGTGAGAGCTGGGAAGGATAGGAAGGTGGGAGAGAGGAAACAAGGCCAGAGGAGCCGCAGCTCTTCGTCTGGAGCCCGGGGTAACATAACGCCCCCTCCAAGTTTATGGTTAAAAGGCTGAAAACACAACAGCAGCAGCAACAACAGCCAAACAGGGTCTCAACATACAGCCCAGGCTGGCCTGAAGTTTAGAATCCTCCTGCCTCAGATTCCTGAGCGCTACATAAATAGCTCTTAACGTATCTGCCTCACTTCCACTCTCTAAGCACAGCTGACCTAGGCTCCTCTAGGCCTCTCTAGGGCTCCACCCCTCACTCAGCCACAGGCCTTTGTTTAGATAAACTACAAGCACAGACCAGATTCTTCCCCTTCAGAAAGACAAGCAGGCATGGCAGAATAAGTAAGGCCCTGCTTTCAACTCTGAGTGAATGTTAACTTCCGCCCCGCTTCCTGCCTGTGACTGTGTTTCTCAACCGGGGGTGGTGTGCGATCTCATGGGTCCTCAGTACAAGGTATCTGCTGGGACACATATGCACATCCACATACAGACATGCACGTGTGTTTTCTGCAACAGAGTCTGCACATTGGGTCTGAAACAAACCTTGACAGCGAAGGGTCAAGCCTCCTGTTCTGAAAGTGTGAGAGAGGTATTTCTTTGCCGCTCTTCAGATGGGACCCCTTCCTGTCCGTCACACTGCACTACACCCAGCGCTTTGCCACACCCAGGCCTATAAATATCCCAATTCCTTAAACACTCTTCTGCTTGCCCCCATCATCGAGCCACTCCTGAGCTGGTGACCCCTAAGACCCAGCAGAAATGGCCTCTTTCCACAGAGCCTTCCTTTCTCTACCTCAGACAGAATCGCTCTCTTTCTCTGTCGGGCTGCGCACACACTCGCAGCCTGGTCTCACCAGAGCTGCCTGCTGTATCTCTCCCTTACTGAGGCATGAGTCTTTCAGAGTAAGGACTCGGTTTCGTTTTGTTCCTGAACCCCCCAGCCTAGAGCTGGACATTACCGAGCATCTTATAAACCAATGGGGGAGATGATCTCAATTTAGCTCAGCCACTGGAGTGCCCGGCTGCGGACTCTGGCTCCTGCTCTGCCAGTGGGAAAGGCAAACAGGGCCTGCACCAGAGAGACTCCGAATCCAGGCTCGGTGACTGGTGTAAGGAGGGATGACTTGGCTCCAAGGGCGAGTGGTGGCCTTCTGTGTCACCACAAACCTCTGGGATTGTTCCAGCTGCCCGCCTTCATTTCTTTAAGCATAAACCTTCCTCAGTGAGCTGCGGGGAGGCCTGGGAGGCTGCATGTTCTGGCTGAACACACCTGCTGCCTTAGACTTTGGTGGCACCAACTTATCCTTTGCTGAACACAGGAGGGTTCTACAGACTCTTTCAAGGGATCTATCTGCAAGGCCTTTCCCTTTTCAGGACATTCTCCATGACACTGACTGCCTTCAAATACTGCAATTGAAAGAGTGCTCACAAGAGGTTGAACTGAGAAGGAAATAGAGTTTAGGTGTCTTCTGTTCAGCTAGTGTTTGTCTGGAACCTGCAGCTCACTCCTGCTTGATCTGGAAAGCCCCAATTCTCTCTCCAAACCCTGCCCTCTCAGAGAGTCTCCAAAAGTGCTAAGAAGGCCAGTTGTGTATTGTTGTTGCAGCAGCAGCTCCTCGATGTGGGATTCCCCTCTGTATGCTGTGAATATCGTTGGTTAATAAAGAAACTGGTTTGGACCTATAGCAGAGCTATAGGGGAACAGAGCTAGGCTGGGAAAACTAAACTAGAATGCTGGAGAAGAAAGGGGGCGGAGTCAGATAGAAGCCATGTAGTCCCACCAGAGCCAGAGGGATCTCTAGCCAGTAAGTCATAGCCATGTGGTGATACACAGATGAATAGAAATGGATTATTAATATGTAAGAGTCAGCCAATAAGAAGCTAGAGCTAATGGGCGAAGCAGTGATTTAATTAATGTGGCTTCTGTGTGATTATTTCAGGGCTAAGTGGTCGGGAACCAACAAGTGGCCCCCTCCCTACAACAATTAGGCCAAGAGGTTATTGAATTAATACAGTTTCTGTGTGATTATTTCGGTTTCTGGGCAGCCGGGAAACAAACAAGTGGCCTCCTCCAACAATTCCTCCCCTGAAGATGCCAGTAGCCCAAGACCCCTCCTAAAGTGGTCAGTTTTTGACTATACCTGGGCTTGTGGAGGACATCATCACTCCTTGCCAACAGGGTATATAGCTTTCTGCTTTAGCTTGGCTGCGTGACTTCTCCAGGCCTTGCTCAAATATACCTGTTCTTTTACTTTTTAATTCAACTTGATCTGGCTTACTGCATTGGTGGAGAAACGTATTATCATATTACAGAAAACCCACTAACTAGGTATTGAGAATGTACAACCATGTACTTCTCTAATTTTTCCTTTTTGAAACAAAGCTTTCCATCAAAATACATAACTTAAGTTAGCATATGATGCTTGACTGTTGTTATTTCTAAATTAATATTCATAAATTTCCACTTTAAGTTTTAACATGGCAAATCCTAATATGGTACGCCTCAGAAGTTCTTTGGCGTTTTTAGTTAAAAGTTAGTATAAAGATGGGTTGCCTCATCTAGACTTAATAGGAAGGGAGGCGCCTAGTCTTTCGACAACTCGATATGCCGTGGCTGGCCCATATACATGGGGAGACCTGCCCTTTTTCTGAAGAGAAAGGAGGAGTGGGTGGGGTACTGGGAGGAGAGGAGGGAGGGAGGGAGGGGAAGTGTGGTCACTCTAGGAAAATATTAATCAATGAAAAATTAATAAAGATTCCTGAGATAAGAAAGTTAGAGAGCCATTGTGCCAAATGGAGCCACACTCTGGCTCTTACCTGTCCACCCTGTCACTGAGTCCTCCTTTGCCTGGCAATGCTTTGTAACTGTCCTTGTGCCTCTGGCTCCCCTCTCCAGGTTCTTTGTTCTCCCTGTAGCCTGCTCCACCCTGGAAGCATCTCTTATTTCTCATGTCTGTATTGTTTTGTTATGTGTCTTGCTTACAGAACTATGAACCCTCTGAAAAGTAGGAGCCTGAGCCAGGCACAGTAGTATGCGGCTTTGATCCCGGCACTTGGGAGGCAAAGGCAGAGATAGGTGCATCTCCCTGAGTTCAAGACCAGCCTGGTTTACATAGAGTTTTAGGTCATCCAGGGCTACGTAGTGAGATGATGTTTACAAAATAAATGAAGGTGTCTGCCTAAAGAACAATTTCCCAGTGCCTGGTATCAGGAGCATGGCCTTTGGCTATCTAGAGAATGAACAGACCAACATCAGAGACCTGGACTTTGCTAAGTAGTTATGTGACTGTGGGCAGGGCCTTGGCCCATCATGGCAAAGAGAAAATCAGACCAGAACACCCATGAAGTCCTCTTGAGGCTGAGTATTGTTCAGGCTGACTTGTGTGGGTCTTGATAAGGATCCGTGATGGTTGAGTTTGATTATCTGCTTGATGACATTTAGAGTCGTAGCGAAGGCAAACCCCTGAGTATGCCTGCAAGGGAGCCTCTAGATTGCAGAGGTGGTTAGACCCACTTGGAATGGAGCAGTGTCATTCCACCGGCTGGGGTTCCCAGTGGAAAAAAATACGGCAGGGGAGCCAGCTGAACACCAGCCTTTCTCAGTTGGCTCCTGTCTGTGGATACAATGTGACCAGCTGCCTCACAGTCCCGGAGCCATGACTCCCCCCCCATCCCCGAACTATGATGGGTTGTACTCTGGAACCATAAACAAAATAAGCCCTTTCTTTAAAGTTCCTTGTATCAGGTAATTTGGTACAGCATTAAGAAAGTGACTAATACAGAATCCCACGTGAAAGCCGTTGCCTCGACAATACTTAGTAACAACACTGGACGGAGCTCATTTTTCATCTCTTCCCACGGTTTAAAAGCAGGGCCTTATGTCTGCTTTTGGTTTTGGGTCTCCCCTGGTCACACTTACTGTGACCTTTGGGCCTCTGCATCTAAGTACCCCCACCTTTGCCTCCTCCCAGTGAGACAGCCCTTCCCATGTCGGGTGGGATGCTGAGACACAAGGTGAGCATGCATGAAAGTCTGCACACCTGGTCTGAAGATTTTACTCTTACCTTCCAAGAGCTGTCAGAGGCCCGGATCAGGGCAGGCAGCAGGTCCTGGAGAAACACCATTTTCTGTTTGAGGATCAGCTCCCTTTGGAGAGCTTCCTAGAAGGAAAAACGTACAGGGGAAGGTTAACCTGGAGGAAGAGTGGGTATGAGGCTGCCGCAGGCATTGCTGTGATACTTACTTTGAGGTACTCAGAGAGTTGGATGATGTCCTAGAGAGAGAGATGAAGAGGCTCAGGAGGACGTCGGCAGAGAACCAGAGAGCCCTGGCTGGCTTACACGGAGCAGATCTATTTTGCCTTGGATCTGGCAGGGTCCTTCTAGGCCCACATCTATGCTCAGGACCTTCCACCACAGCCCGGGTTTATCCCAGAATCCCGGGATGCTAGCTAGCTCTTAGGGACCATTTGACCCATACCCCTCCAAACGAGGGTTCTCTTACCTTATCTTGAACTGCGACTCCACAGCTGGGAAGAGAAGGAAAACATGACAGTGGGCCAAAAAAAAAAAAAAAAAAAAAATGAAACCTGCAAGCAGGCGGGGTGTAAGCTGCCCTGGCATCCCTGCGGAAGAGCAGTAGGGTGGGGAGGGGCGTCCTCCTCCTCCTCAGCTGGGCTGTCCAGTGGAGGTGTTCCCAATAAACACGTGGAGGAGAGGGATGAAGGAGATGTGAACTGTTGGGGTCAGAACGCGAGGGAACTCACTTGGTTTGCTGACTGGCATCACTCTTTACTCTTGGCTGTGCCTCTTCTGCCTTTGTCTGAGTACCTGAGAGACAGGCAGGGCGATTCAGCAGGCCAGGAGGAGGGAGGAAGGACGAGGGAGGGATGGGAGAACTGGGCTGCCACTGTAGGTCAGGGCCGCGCTCTCACCCCGGTGCTGTCTGTGTGGCTTCTTGACGGCAGAGTCCTGTGTTGGACAGACTGTCATGTGTGAGGAATGGAGGCCATCCAAATCTCTCTGGAGGCTTGAGGAGGAATGGCGCAGGGTCGGGAAAATGGCGGCGCTGGTCCCTGTTACCTGGAAAGCAGAGGAAGGTCACGGAATGACACTCCGAAGGGCCTTTTAAGCTCTCCAGAGAACTGCAGAGAGAAGAGCCAGAGGCTGGGGCTGTAGCTCAGTGCTAGTGGGTTGCTGGGCACATACAAAGCCCTGGGCTCCATTCTCAGCACAGGAAAAACAAACCAAAGTAAAAATGAAACAAAGCAAATGCTAATGACATCTGTGTGGACTGAGTGGTTTTCGCGAAACTCCTGTGTTGATATTGTAGCGGTTTTTAGGAGACGGAGCCTTTGGGAAGCACTTATGTCTGAACATGGGTCCTTTGCGAGTGAGGTCAGTGCCTTCCCAGAAGAGCTGTGTAAGAGCTCGCCTGTTTGCCCGCTTTCTGCCATGTGTGCACATGGTGGCGTGACTATCTGCACAGGAAGAGTGTCCTCATCAGATTCCAGATGGACTGGAGTCTCGGGCTTGGACCTGAGCTTCAAAAATGACAAGAAATACATTTCTGCTGTTTCCAGCTACTCCCTGTGTGACATTTGGTCACAGCAGTCCAAATGATACTTTCCACCTAGAAAGCCTAAACCACCCAAGGCTTCACAGCCTCGAGGTCACCTCGGTGCTTGTTCTTTCTTGCCCTGGATGGAGGGAATGTCTGTTATTTTTGTCTTCTTTTCTACAAAATCAAAAGTCTATGTAGCTAACCCAGCACTAAAAGGCTAAGAAATATCTATGGGATCCCATGACGGGCTGACTAAAGAGCCACGGGCAGACAATTATTTCACTGCATTTTTCTGTTCCCATTCTCGACACCTCTGCCCCTTTGTCAAGGCCATTCAGAGGCCTTGTTACCATGTAAACAGGCTGTTGGCATGTTCTAGGATGGTTGCTCTGGGCAGCCGTGTGGCAGCATGTGCATGCATGCACACATGCATGTTGAGACATGAAAACATTGGCTTGTGTTCCTGGCATATTCAAAGCATTTAGTAAGTCTCTGGTGAATGATGGTCAAGTAGATGCCGTAACATAGCCACAGAAGATGTTATAGAGTTGGAGATGTGGCTCAGTGGCAGGATGCTTGCCGACCATGCACAAGGCCCTCAGCATTGAGAGAAGAAAAAGCAGAGTCTGTGAATTACAGTGCACCTGTAATCCCAGAACTCAGGAAAGGGAGGCAGGAAGATCATAAATTTGGAGCCATCTTGAATTATATAGCAAGGCCGTATCTTAGGGAAAAAAGATCTTATACTAGTTATTATTTATAATTGTTTGAACAGTTATTTCCTTTCTCCTAACAGCCAGGAGTAGGACCCCCATTCCCCATTTCAAAAGACATTAAAGACACAGCACAAACTCTAAAGAGCAATGGTTGATGACTGATGGAAACTTGATTGCATGGCTGAGGAAGGGGCTTACAGGAATCATTTGTTAATGACCTTCGGCCTTTGTGCTTCTCAGACTCCCCCCCCCCCCCGGTCTAGAGCAGTGTTTTCTTGGACATATCCCACCTGCTGTCCAGGGAAAGCCGTCTTGTTGGCACCAGGCAAGGACTCTTTGAGGACAGTCACCTGACATGTCCCTCCATCTGTCTTGCAGGAAGGCCCTTGCTCCCTGACCTGGCCTTTCGTTTCATCTTCCAGGTTTCTCCTTCTGAGGAACTGGAGCTGCCGAGCTCTCTGAAGCTGTTCCCTGTGCTGGGTCCTCAGCACCTTCCCCGGCTGGCGGCAGGTGGTCTCATTGCGGCGGCGGCGGCGGCTTTCTCGGATCTCCTGACGTCTTTCACACTTGGCCTCGTAGCTCTCAGCCCACCAAGCCAAGCCAGGGGAGGACTTGGGGTCTGAGCTGATCATGGTGACCTCCCGAGCACCTGTTGTCTTTGGCTTTCAGTTCCTTGAACAGCTGCTTGGACCTGGCAGATGCCAAGAGGGAGGAGTCAGAAGATGGGCCAAAAACTGACAATCTCTCTCCCCAGGTCAGGGCAGAAATAGCACAGGGCTCCATCCGTGTGTGTGCTGAAAACCCGGGGTGAGGACTCCTGGCCTCAATCCTGCATGAACTGATGGAATCCAGCAAGGCCAGGTTTCTCTAGCACTGATCCCTAAAGTTGGCAGCTCTCTCTGGAGCCCCTTCTTCTTTGGTTAGATTCTCTGAGTGAGGGTATGCAAGGGACAAATGATACCTGTCACAATGAGCGTACAGCCCTTTGGATGGCTTGCAGAACTGTGGCCACCTCAGCCTACTTCATCTTCTAGTCTAAAATGAAGGATGATGTCATCCTGACTGTTCTCTTGCCCACACCATCCCTAAAATAGCTAAGTGGCAGTTCTCGAGACCCAGTGGAGGTCTAGCCACAACCCCCCAGGAAGTGATCAGGTTTGTGACTGGCACCCTCTGCCCCATATCTCGCTCTCAGCAGTCACCTTGTGGCTCCGGACTGGCATGGCTCAGAGAACCTGCCCTAATTCCTCCATCGCCACATCCTGGCCTTTCTCTCTGTCATCTGCTATGTATCTAGGGCGAGGTGCTGACGTCAGCTGCTGATCAGGTCAGTGATGGGATGAGCATCTTTCACGATGCTCAGTGTTGGTCCACTGCAGAGACGCTGGTTCAGTGCCACCTCCCTGCCAAGACAAGAGAAACCTGTCCCCAAGGAACAGTCCTCAGGACAGGCCACCCTTGGTGCCCCGTTAGGTGACCTTACCTGCCATCTGTCTAGTACCTAAACCCTCATCTTCACCTACCTGTTGCGGATTTGGCTAGCCTCATTCTGGGCTCTGGCAGCCTGGTGGAGTGAGGGCTGGACTCAGATGAGCTAACCCTAGCACCAGAGATTGTTCCCTGCCTCCTCTGCCTTCTGGAGCCCGACTGGGTGATGAGGAAGGTCCTCCTCAGAGCTGCTGCCTCTTCTCTATTACTGTTCATCCCACTGCCCTGGAATTCAGCTCCTGGGTGGTCAGAGGAAGTATCCCAGCCTCACCGACCAGGAGGCACTGGCCAGCTCTGACCCCTGAGACTTGTTTATAGGCTGCACAGAATCTGCAGGCAGAGGCCCTATGCTTCATTGTTGGGACTTCGATGTCTATCCTGGCACAAGATAGAATTCTGTGCAGAGCGGCTGCTCTGTCCCTGGTCACTGCACTCATTCACAAGCCTGTGGGTGGACAGTCTCACTCTCTGAGGGGCTTATATGGCCAAGTCCTGGATGCTTTTTGTTACCTGACTCTTGAGGGCAGAGGAGCAGCCTCTGCCTTGGGCAGAGCTTACCCCATGGACTGTGAGCTGGTGTTTGTCCTCCTCATCATCTCAGTGCCTCCCCCAAGGCTTTGCTCTCACTCTCGCTCTGTGGGGTTCTCTAGACTTCCCACCAGTCTCTCTGCTTATTTAATCATGTAGAAAAGGAGCCAAAAGCTCTACACATGTTCTGTGATGGATGGATTGTTGTAATAAAAAAATGTGGTATGTGAGAGAAAGATGCAGTGTGACAGAACTCAGGTGGAGGGGGTTTTATAGGGGAAAGGGAACTTAAAAAGGGAGAGGGGAGAGCAGCCTCTGGGGACAGGGGCAGCAGAAGAGAGAGGCAGAGAGAAAGGGGGGAGGGAAGGAAGGAGAGGAAGAGACAGACAGCAGAGAGGGAGAGAAAGGGAGGGAGGGGGGAGGGAGAGAGAGAGGGAGAGATGGGAGGTAGGCATGGCCCTTTTAAAAGTGCACAGAGGGGTTCTTAGTGTCAGGCCACATACAGATGCCTGAATACTAACATGGATGGATGGATGAATGGATGGATGGATGGATGGATGGATGGATGGGTGGATGGGTGGATGGATGGATGAGTGGATGGATGGATGGGTGGATGGGTGGATGGGTGGATGGATGGATGGGTGGATGGGTGGATGGATGGATGGGTGGATGGGTGGATGGATGGATGGGTGGATGGATGGATGGATAGGAACTCTTGCTTTGGGCCAGTCTGCGACTCACTTCCAGGCTGTCACTGCCTACAAACAGGGGGGAAACGGTTAAGTGTTGCTAAGCCTCAGGGTTCTCATTAATGAAATGGAGCTAAAATGTCCCGTGAAAGGGATATGAGCATTAATGATGACATCCACACCATACACTTAGCACTGCCATTATGATAGCTTTTAAAAATAACAGACAGAAAGCATCCTACCTATCCTTGCTGGTGTAAATCAAACGCCCGGGCAAAGCCAGACTCTAGGACACCGTCTGATTTCCCCTAATTCCTTCTCTCAGTTCTGAACAGGCCTTATAGCTCCATCTTGGAATAATTTTCCTGTGGCCTCTGAGTTTGGGTTATAAGGACAAAGCGCTTCTCAGTGGTCTGGACATAACCATCAACTCCAGTAGGTCAGACAAGAAGGCAAAGAACAGGCAGGTGAAGAATGGGTACGGCCTCACGAGTGTGAGGGTTTAGGTTCCTCCCTGTTGGGCCTTACTTCCATATAGGCTTTGTACTGGAGGTAGCTCTCTGGGTTTAGGACCCTCTCGCCTTCTAGACAGGAAGAGGAAACATCTTATGGGGTTGAGGCAAGGCTGTGGTGACGTCTCTCCCTGCTTGCCATCTAGCTGGTCTGTAGGTCTACTGAAATATGGCTGCTCTACTCTCTGCATCATTAGGACTTAACACCAAGAGGGAAGTTACAGTAGGAATGGTTCCCTAGAAAGAGCAGCATTGCTCGACCCACAGGGCCTCCCACTCCCCTCCACCCTGGTGGGATTTGATGTGGTGCTTGCGCAGAACCACATAGCCTTCTGGAATGGTGTGAAATGGTGGCTCATGTCAATATAAGAAGGCTGTGGGGGCTGGGCGGTGGTGGTGCACGCCTTTAATCCCAGCACTTGGTAGGCAGAGGCAGGCAGATCTCTGTGAGTTCGAGGCCAGCTTGGTCTAGAAGAGCTAGTTCCAGGACAGGAACCAAAAAGCTATGGAGAAACCCTGTTTCAAAAAAACAAAAAAAAAAAAAAAAAAAAAAAAAGGCTGTGGAAGATCTGATGGACAGGGACTAGCTGCAGAATAAAGGAACTGGTCCTGTGGTTCAGAGAAAGGTCACAAGGCCGCTTGCCCAGGCTTTCTGGAGTCTCCATTGGCAACACGAAGGGTCCAGTTAGAGCCTTGGAGGAAGGGGTAGTACCCGCTAGGGAAGGAGGCTCTCCTCCCTGCACAGGGAGGCAGCAGGGCACTGCCCCTCACCTACAGGCTTGTCGTTACCTTTACTAATCTAACAGGTGGAATAGAGCTGTTAGCCGTATCCCAGTGGTTACCCAAGGATGCTTTCTCGGTCACACAAAGCCCAGCACTCAGACCCTACCACCTGCTGCTGTGCAGGAGGCTGGCATGGGCAGAACACCTCTGCCCCACCCCCAACGCCAACAGACCCAAACCTGGATCGAAAACATTGTTCTCCACCATTACCTCAGGTCCTAGGTTCTGTCCCTAGTGTCTCTCTGGTCTCAGATGGCCAGGGAGGCGGTCAGACAGATGTTCTGAGCCCCCTCTCTGGTCTCAGGTGTCCAGGGAAGCGGCCAGTCAGATGTTCTCAGCCCCCTCTCCATTTTTCTCCGGTACCGACATTCTTTTGGCACAGCAGTCTGGTGAAACAGGAAACAGACAAGCCACAGTGCTTGCAAACCTCAGTTCCTCTCCTTGCTCTCAGCAACTTGAGAGGGGCCCCTTCACCCTTGGGGCCTCCAGGGCTGGTGAGGAACTCCACCCCGCCACCCACTCTCCCGCTACCTGATTGGTCTGTGCTCCCTAGCAGTTTCAAGCCAATATCCATTTCCAGGGGTTGGTGATAGAGTTCAGTAGGTAGAGTGCTTGCCTGGATGCATGAAGCCCCATGTTCCATCCTCAGCACTAAAAGCCATACCTGGCAGTGCAGCTCTGAAACCCTGACATCAGGAGTTCAAGGTCATCCTCAGCTAGGTATTGAGTTCAAGGTCAGCTTGGGCTACTTGAAACCCTGTTTCAAAACTTTTTGTTGTTGTTGTTTGTTTGTATCTGGGATTACACAGGGATGAGCTCTGGGCCAGATCCAAACCTTGCCACTTCTGTGGTGAGACCCAGGAGGGATGTTTCCCATGCCATCCAGCTATCTGTTCAGGAAGCTCTCTTTCCTTTGGGCACCTCTCCCCGGTGTTGACATGTCTGAAGGATCTCTGTGTTTTGAGGAGCTCTAGATCCTTAAGGGGTTCTGGATTCATTTCTTTTTGAAGCAATGTGGACAGTAAAGGTGGCTAGAAGGCAGACAGTAGATAACCAACATAATCTGGGGGGAAAAGAGAAAAATCCCAGTGAGTTGAACTGAGAAATTTGGGAGAAAATTAAAGAGAACACATGCATTAGAAAGAAACTATCACAAACAGGCAATCTGGAGCAGCTCAGGATAGATCAGCAGGAAACTGGGTTGGTCCAAGCTCACGAACAGCACTGGGACCTCTCAGCCCTCAGCATGAAGGGGTTAGGTGGTAGATGTGGCTGCTGTGAATGTAGGGTTTGCAGATGTGTAAGGGGGACGTAAGGAGGCAGTCGTGAGGCAGGCAGTGAGACGCTCACACAGCTGTGCTAAGTTTCGTTAACACGGAGAAGTTATCACAGTCCTCCTGGTTGCTACTTCCCCTCGTGTCTGAAGAGAAAAAGGCAAGAGGCACACAGGTTAGATTCTTACACTGGGGCCCACGGCGAGAGACACGAGGGAAGACAGGAGATTGTATTGGAATTGCAGCAGATCTGAACTGTATTAAAAACTGTGCAGAAATGTATACAGAGGTCAAAATCCCTCCTAGGGCTGGGTACTCTTTGGGGGCTACACTCGTGCTGCCTGGGCTAGTAGGTTTTTATGCGTGCTCAAAGTCATGCAGCAAGGGCTGGACCCAGGCTTGCTCTGCGTCAAAGCAAGAACTCTTTGTTTGTTTTTGTGTTTTTGAGATGGGGTTTATTTGTGTAGTCCTGGCTGTCTTTGAACTCTGTAGACTAGGCTAGCTTCAAATGCACAAAGATCTGCCTGCCTCTGCCTCCCAAGTGCTCAGATTAAAGGTGTGCACCATCACTGCCAGGCAAAGTCAGAACTCACTTTTTAAAAAAAAAAAAGTCAGGAAACCCTGATTGCTCTTCGGGCTGATGAGGGAGGGGGACCTGATTGGGGGAGGGGGAGCGAAATGGGAGGCAGTGGCAGGGAGGAGGCAGAAATCTTTAATAAATAAAAAATTAAAAAAAGGTTTATTATGCATACAGTGTTTTGTCTGCATGTTTGCCTACACGCCAGAAGAGGGCACCAGATCTCATTATAGATGGCTGTAACCCACCATGTGGTTGCTGGGGATTGAACTCAGAACCTCTGGAAGAGCACCCAGTGCTCTTAATCTGTGAGCCATCTCTCCAGTTCCAAATCCAGAACTCTTAACCCTGCTCTGAGAATTAATGGTTCATGAAGTTGCCATAGGCTACTGATCTATCTACATGGAAAAAGTGCATATGCACGCATGGACACACACTATCCCTGAGAATAGAGAGTGTATCTTATTTTCAAATATGCATAAAGCATTATAAGAGTGAGCATGCTGACAGAAAAAAATGTTTTAGCTGAGTGTGGTGGTACATGCCTATAATTCCAGTACTGATCAGGAGGAAAGTGTGCCTGAGGATAGCCTGGGCTAGCTAGTGAGATTTTTTTTTAAAGTAAAACAAAAACATAGCCTTTGAAATAAGATTTTCTGGCCATAGTACAATGAAATTAGAAATTAACAATAAAAGTTGGAATTAAAAAATATAGATCAGTCTTGAAATATAGAGAATTGAGTCTGAAATTAAGAATCCAGTGAGCACGGTGACAATGGGGACATTAAGACCAAAGTCTGTGAGGCACTGCGGAGGTATGCCCCATAGCTGCAATCATTTCATTATTTAAATAAGATTAAAATTATTTATGAGCTTACTTACGTTCAAGCAGACTTCTAAAATTGGTCATAAGAACCAAGGAAAGTAGGTGAAAATTAAGAAGGAAAGAAGAAAATGTTAAGTTAGGCTAGTGAGCAGGTGTGATGGGAATGCAGAAGTTTGTGCACATGTGCAGAGATGCTTGTGTGCATGTGTGTGGGGGTGCTTGGACGTTTGTGTGCACGGGTGTGTGGATGCTTGGGCATTTGTGTGCACGGGTGTGTGGATGCTTGGGCATTTGTGTGCATGGGTGTGTGCATGCTTGGGTGTTTGTGTGCATTTGTGTGCGGATGCTTGGACATTTGTGTGCATGTGTGTGTGTGGATGCTTGGATGTTTGTGTGCACAGGTTTGTGGATGCTTGGGCATTTGTGTGCATGGGTGTGTGCATGTTTGGGTGTTTGTGTGCATGGGTGTGTAGATGTTTGGGCATTTGAGTGCATGTGTGTGTGGATGCTTGGACCTTTGTGTGCATGTGTGTGTGGATGTTTGGGCATTTGTATGCATGTGTGTGCGGATGCTTGGGCCTTTGTATGAATAGGTGTTTGGATGCTTGGGCATTTGTGTGCATGGGTGTGTGCATGCTTGGGTGTTTGTGTGCATGGGTGTGTGGATGCTTGGGCATTTGTGTGCATGTGTGTGTGGATGCTTGGACCTTTGTGTGCATGGGTGTGTGGATGATTGGGCATTTGTGTGCATGGGTGTGCAGATGCTGGGGCATTTGTGTGCATGGGTGTGTGGATGCTTGGACCTTTGTATGAATAGGTGTTTGGATGCTTGGGCATTTGTGTGCATGGGCGATCTTGTGTAGGAGGTGGTGGTATAAATACCAACAGAAAGCAAAACTTAAAAGTGAGTTACTGCCTATTCTAATCAATATAGGAGTAAGGACATACATAAAACCTTAGGAAGCAACAACAGTATGGTGAAAATTAATACATCGGGTCATTTTCATCTTACTAACTTTTTAGTCAGAATGATGCTTCATTGTAGCATTTACATATGTATGTGATTTCAGCTTGCTCGCACCAACCCCTGATTAATCCTCCTTAGTTCAACCCTTCTTCCCATGGGTTTCCAATTCCTTAGACATGGCCCATTTCTGCTCTCAGGTCTTTTACAGAGTATGTGTATTGCTGAATCTATGTTCTCTATATGAGAGAGAACATACTTATCCCAACAGTCCTCTCTTCTGTACCCCCTCCTTTCAGACCTACTTCACCTACTTAGTTCCCTTCTACTTTTATGTCTGTCTGTCTGTTTGTCTGTCTAAACCTCACATTGTATTCTAAGCACTTGGGAGGTAGAGGCAGGGAGGACTGGCATAAATCGGAGGCCAGCCTGGGCTATGAAGTAAACCTGCCTCAAAACATATATATCACAGGAGAGAAAAGACGTGATTTTTGATTTTTGAGTCTGGCCTGTTTCACTTGACCTGATGATTCCTGGCTCATCAGTTTCCCTGCAAATGGCATAAGAGTCAATTTGCATAACTGTGCCGATGGCTTTGCAAACCAGAATCAAATGGATTCAAGAAAACCAAATGCACAGAGAGAGTCTCATCCGCAGCTGGCCTCTTAGGTGGGGAGGGAGGGTTTAATCAGCCTATTGACCAAAGCAAAAGCTTTACACTGGGCTAACTGGACACTCTTATCTGACCACTAGGGCCTCCCTTTCGGGAGCTTCTGAGACTTTTTCATTCGGCTAGCTGATTGCTTCTTTCTCGGAAAATGGTATTGTTAATCAGAGTTGTTCATTCTTGGGGTTTCTCCCAGCTGGCCCCTGTTTCTCAGCAGTGCATTCTCAAGCCCGAGTCATTTACTCTAGAAGAAAGTCCCAAACAGTTTTTATTAGTATTTAGTGGTACCCATGGCCCTTACTGTAGTGTGGCTCCCCGCAGAGGCCCATATCTCAGAGAATCCTAGGAATGGGCTTAATGGGAGAAAGTTAGGTTGTTGGGAGCATGTCCTTGAGGGGAGAGTGCCATCTCGGCTCCTCTATCCACTTTTCACTTCCTAGTCATGAGGTGAGCTTTTGCCCCATCATGAAGTTATGGAAACCACAGTCCTGGTAATGTCTGAGGTAACCAATCACTGACTGAATCTTCCAAATTCTTGTCTCTTCATAACTGATTTTCTTGGGAGTCTGTTAAGGTATAGGGAAGCTGACTGATATATCCCAAATCTCACAGGAGGTCCCAGCGTGGGCAGACTGTTGTCAGGTTCTCATAGGGTTTGCTCTTTGGTCTTTCAAGGGTGTTGATGGTCAGTTTAATCAAGTGTCCACATTTCTGAGGTAGTGTATCTTCCACTCCTCAGGAGGGAGGCAATGTTCCATGTTTCCTACATTTGCAAGGTTGTCTGCCACGTGGAACTACATGCCATTCCCATCTGTGGCAGAACAGACTCTCAGCCCTCTGTGGGGTCTGTGGGGGCCTTGTTGGCAGAACGTCTCTTAGATATAAAAGCCTCGTATGTTTGTGTAAGAAATGTTCAATCTAAGCAAGAGCTGTCTTTGTTGTATAGATTCTGGGGGGTTGTGAGGCTACAAGGGAGGCAAACGCTGATAACAAGAACCTGCTTAATATCCACCGAACCTGCAGGAGTTCGAGTTCATCTGCAGAACCACATAAATTGGGCGTGGTGGTGTCCACACATAATCCTAGCACTCTGGAGGTGGAGGCAGAAGGATTAGGAGTTTAAGGTCATTCTGT